CATCTAAATCGGTTCAGTAGTTTCGAAGCCTATTAGATACAAACAAACATACAAAATATCATTTTTTTTCTCTTTATAATATTAGAATAGACGAGGTAGTATCATGCGTACTATTATAACTGTTCCACTTTGAAATTAGGTTTGTTAAGCATTAGCAAAACCAAAGCTATTCGCGCATGGAATCTGCTGTTTTGATTGTAATACCTAGTATGCAGGCATTTCCAAGGTATTTCAGAGAGTCATGATTACAATACAAGTACTTTGCTTAGTATTTACATATCACACCGTCCTTTGTCAATATTTATTGTTTTAATGATTTCAAGTATACTGACAGAATTTAGTTGCTATTAATAAACGTTGATAAACAAACAACAACTTTGTAATAACCATTACCCACTCTATTATATTTGAAATCGGCAACGTTTGCTCATTAAAAGAGGCTATACTCGGAGGACGCCTCAAATTACTGAATTTTATGGCTCAGTACCGCCGGCGTCCTCACACACAACCCATTACTTACTTGATTTTAACTATTTAACACAAATGACCTATTTAAGGTGTCCCAAAGATAATTTTAGTGTAGCTGTAGGGTCAAGTTGTGTCTAATTTGACCTCGACAGCGGCCTTTGAGAAAAGTTTATTTCGGGGTCAGTGAACATTTTTGTGAGCCATCAGGGCTCCAGATAAGTCGAGCGTGATTTATGCAAAGGGTAGATGGATAGATCTGTAAGATGGCTTGCACATCTTATATCATTAAATTATAAAATAAGCCTAACTATTTCGTAAAACAATCTGCTTCTAAAATAAAAAGTTTACATATTATCATACAACGGTATTGAAACCAGAAAAAAAATCTCAAGATATATTCACTTCGTAAGAATTTTTCCATTCACTTAAATATTTGGCACCATTTAAATACGTGTTCGGTCCTACAAGATGCTTTTTATAACAGAGAATGTTTGATAGCCCTGTCACAAAAGCTCGTGAATATTATAGAAGCGGGCGCACTTCACACGTCCTGGCGGCAGTAAAACCGCTTCATGTCACCTCGGGAGTTTTATTGCACTGCCGTTTTAGGGGGTTCAAGCTGGTTTAACCAACTTTAAAAGAATGTACTACCACCACATTCATTGAGGAAATATCGACTGTTTTAAGGAGTTAATATAATAATAAACAAAAGGTATTTGTTATTTGAACATTGTCTGTCTTTGTTTAAATAACTATTGCATTATAATTTCATATGTTATAGGCACTATAGTAAAGCCCAAATAATGTTCGTTTTTATCTGTCTGTCTATTTGTACATACCTCCAAAACGGCTAAGCCCTACCAGTGTAATTAGTTAACTTCAATGAAATTGTATTGAATGATATATTTTTTCTCCCCTCTTAATTCATTTAAATTATTTTTCGTTTACATTACATTTTATGTTCATATATTAGTAATGATACGGCTATCAATTTATAAGGTATTGATATCGTTATTTTTCGTACCGATTTCTTTTTTTACATGCCTACACTCAAACGTGAAAAAGCATTTTTTAGGTTAGAATAGATTAACAAGAACTCAGAAAACTTTAAAGTAGCTTATTGCATTTTTTATCCACGATCTTTCTTGATTCCACTTCTGCAAATGCCTTTTTATTCAACTTCTAGCTTCGGGCATATTACAGCGCTGCACAGGTATTCACTGTACAAATACCTCAGATCTAGTTTGAGATGTATGGTACTTTTTTTTGTTTTTTAACGTTGGGAATTGCATTTACGCTTACCACCTCCATAAATACAGGTGGTTTTGTGGGACTCACTGGCTAGAAAAATCAGTACTACCCACTAAAATCCAACAAAACCTCCCCCGTCTTAATGGGACCTCGCAGATCGCTTAAGCGCTCAACCACGACTCCCCGGCGGCAGGTCTGCCGAAGCAGACCATACCACCAAAGAATTGAGTTGCTCCCACGGTCCACATTGCCATTCAAAAGTACCAGGAAAAGTCCGCATGATACACCGCTCACCGAGGTGGGCTACTTTCCAGTACGTTTCTAGACTTCGCACCCAAAGTACCGGATGCTAATGAGACCACCACGACAAGATGAACACATATCGGGGGAGATAGACTATGATCTGAAATAACATTTAGGTTACCGTTAGTAATAAAAACTGCCAAAAGATGGCGCTGTTTATATATGATACTGTAAATACAAAGCGAAGCAAGAGTAAGTGTAAAGTAAATAAAAAAATACGGTTTAACTGTTTTTTTTTTCCCGAGTTTTTATATCCCGAGCCATATCCGCATAAAATAGCGACAAAGAATGCACGATGCATTCTTCTAGCATTCAATTTGACTTGAGTTTCCTCAACTTTCAGAATATAACAAAACCTAGCTTAAATTTAGCATTGTACTTGAGCTGCTACTCTATGCGGTGTATTAAGCCATTGATCAAACCCAAACTTGGAACAAATCCAACGAGTCTCCAGCGGATAACAAAAAGAGCCATGTAAACGTAATTACAGCCTCAAAATGGTAAACATGATTGTGTCTGGAATTCTTTTATTTAACTTTATTTTTCATTAGGTATATATTTAATTTATCATAATTTAATTTCTTGATAAGTTTGGTAATTTTAACATAATGCGAGGAATTCTAGAGTAAATTCGTTTTATTTAGTAGCTGGAATAGTGAAATATAAACTTGTTCACGAAGCACACAGAAAATATGTAATTTGCTTAAGAATTATTAAGAATATCTAATATATAATTTAAGAATATTCAGCGTCGCTTAGCGCAGCAATATTATAATTTTCTTGCGGCGTAATATTTTTATGACTCTGCTTAAATTCCAGCGAAGTTGAAAGTAAACGAAAACGAAAACGAACGTTGAAGATAGCCTAGTGTTATGGAGATTTTATGCAGTACTTAAAATGCGAATTTGTCGTGGCGCCGCTGATAATTTATCATAGATAATTCTGTCCTGTTTTATGCTTTAAGCAATAAAAAATAATTTCTAGACTTGAATACATTTTTAATACAACCATTTTTAACAATAATAACTCTTAAATTAAAAATATTCAAAACCCCCAACACAATAGCCTACTTATTAAGGCCTTTACAATGAGCCTAAACACGATATATCTGCAGTATTTTAGTAAAGAGTTGACTATCTTGCAGATTTCAGGAGACGCTGGAGAATCGGACCAAGGTTACTATTTCATTGCAATATCATTAAAGTTAGGGGTTATCAAGTTTCGAATCGATTAGATCTGTGGAAGTTCTTCATATCCTTTTACCGTCTAGAAAAGAGCTGATGGCCTGCAAACGGCTGAACGTATTTTCCTGATTTATAACTAAGAACATTCTAGATAGTCACCTTTTCAACAACAAAAAAACTAAATTAAAATCGGTTTATCCATTTAGGCGCAACGATATCACAGACAGACACAGAGATACACACGCTAAACTTATAACGCCCCACTTTTCGTGTCTGGGTTAAAAATAAAAATCAGATATTGTTATACCGAATATATCAAATATAGCTTTTAAAACTATCACGTAAATCCTTAGTTAGGTTGAGCTTCCCGAACTATATGGCTTCATGTAAAGTGTGGATCATGCTTAGAGAAAACTTAAATGCTGAGATACATTTATACAATCACAAATCGAAAAAAAACCGGTAAATCTAGGGAGTGTATTTCTAAATTTTACATATTTGAGTCAAATTAGGAGAACTTGATTCTAAGATTTGGATCTTGGATAAATACGTAGGCTAAATTCTATCTACGCACCTACCAAGGGAGCAGAGCCGCGGGATATACTAATCATTAGGACTTATAATAACTCTTCATATGGATAAAGTATTTGTGTATACTTTTTTAAGTATGTCAGCAATTTTTAACCAACTTTTAGAAAATTTTACAAAGAATTTACAATTTCCAGCTAAATAAACCATTGTTGTATTTGTGCAAAAACGAAATTGCAAAATTAGAAACAAGAATGTGACTTCATGTTTCCAACTTTCGATGTTGTTAATTAAGGCATGACCTAATATTTCTCCAATAAAAGTATATACTAACTCAATATTACGAGCCCTGGTTCCATCCTCTAATTCCGATGTTTATAGTTTAGAGTCGACCCTCGTGATTTTGTCTCGTCCTCCAAATTGATTTGTCATTGTTCATTGAGCTCTCAACTGTAAGCTTTAGTAATATGTATCTACAATTGATATAAAACGGGGTTTTGTGCAGATAGAGAAAATAGAATAATTTTGTTGTCGAGAGCACTTTCGTAGATTTTATTGTCTCTTAGAATCTTTTACTCGCTTTTCTTGTTTCATTCTTCGAAGATCTTGAATGGACAAGGGTCAGGCTATAATAAGGGTCTTGCTTGATTGGTTATATTGTATTTTTGTAGACAGACAGAGGGGTTAGCAGTTTTATTAGTCGAGTGATCTGGTTTTATGAGACGTGTTGGCGTAATAAAGACATCCCTACGAAATAAACCTGCATGTTGTTGGCGACCTAATTGTGCCAAAATACCAAACGTGTCAGAATATTGTATTAATTTCAAATAAAGTCAAACTGGAACATTAACAATTTATAAACTCTAACCTCGTTCTATTATATCTAGTATAGAAATATCAGTATAATACTTTTATTATTAATATTTTACAAGTTAACATTATTGTTACATTATATTACGAGTATACTAAGTGGTTCTTGTGTGAATTTACGTCATAGATTAGTATATTTCTAACGTACAGTATTTTTTTTAAATGTTTATGTACTAAAGCCACTCATATATCAATACAAAAAATACGGGGTACATTCGATGCCTGACTTTAAAACATAAATATTAAGAATAATTAGAAAATTAAGAATTTTGTAAATATGTACCACAGAAACTAAATACAAGTATGCAGGTTAATTACGGTGGAATGTGATGTAAATTACATACTTTACTGTCATTTCATTTTTATTTATTAGGTACATTAGAGTAATAAACTTTATAGAGCTATAATATTCTCTTTTAGCTCTTTAAGTTCTTTTGCATGTATCCATTTAATTCCAGTAGCAGATGCCGAGCTGGGTGGTCTTGATATACATCTATAAAATACATATACATATTTGTATGTTTGTTTAAACAGATCCGTATATTATCGCTTAATTCAATTTGTTAAATAATTTAATAATAGCTGTATAATATAGTTATTGGCTTAGTAGAAACTTAGAAAAGAAGTAATTATAATTTTATATAAAATTTTGAATACCCGATTCATATTTGAGTAAGATGGGAAATACCAAATCAAAGCTAAATAAAATAATTAACAAAACGTACTTACTCTACTTTCTTTCCTAAAAGATTTTCAAGTCGTGCTCTCACAAAGGGCCAGGGTCCCTGGTTTTTGTGCTCTTCTTGACAAAATGCGACTTTCGCTTTTTCGTATCTACAGAACTCTTCAAGCACCAAATCGTAAGGAAACGGATAAAGTTGTTCAATGCGACACAAAGCAATCTTATCTTCTAACTTCTTTTCTTTGCGCAATTCGTCTATAGTAATGGCGACTTTTCCAGAACAGAATATTAATTTCTTAACTTCTTTAGGATTCTGGCAAGCTGGTCCACTCTCACGTATGATCCTTATCAAAATAAGTTTAATCAATAAATTTATTGTTTAAGTTCCTTTGTTTAGTTCAGTAGTAGTATAATAAGTATTATAGAAAATAGTCGGGGGCAACAATTCACATATAAACACTCTTCCTGAATATTTAACTAAAATCCTAGTTACTAACAAATTAAGAATTATTCTACTATATTACCTATTACATAGCAATATATATTCGAAGATTAAGTTGGTAAGAGATTACTTGCCTTTGAAAGCAAGTTCCGGACAGGAAATCCTTAAAAGGCGAGGTGTAATATGGATGTTTGAGACCAACTTTAGGCGTCATCAGTATGAGTGGCTTTCGGAACGGCAGAGCGATTTGTCGCCGAATCAAATGGAAATAGTTTGCAGGAGTTGTTACATTGCAAACAATCCAATTCGCAGCCCGTAGTTGTTTCACTTCAAAGTATTTTATAGTCTTTTAGAAATTATAATAAAAAAATATGACATTTTATTAAGAATTACAAATCAAATACTAGAATGGTAAAAATTTTAAGTTATTAAAGTAAATAAATAATTTACAGGCCATGTCTTTATCGTCCAAATCGGGAATGGCGTCTTCGTCATCATCTGCTTGTTGAAGATAGCGTTCTACGCGAGCTGATGAATGTTCAGGGCCCTAGTATATCATATCATAGAGAATAATATTATAATAATTTAAGATTATTCTATTTCGTGTTGTTTCTTTATAATAAGATCATAAACAAGTACTACATTGATTTTGCTAATTATCATAAGTATCATAACATTAGTATTGTTTTAGAAACTTACAGCTCCATCTATCCCATGAGGTAATTGCACCACTATCCCAGATTGACATACCCACTTGCTTTCCCCATTGGCAATAAATGTGTCGAATACTGGCTGTGCCGTATCCGCAAAGTCCCCATATTGAGCTTCCCAAATAGTAAGAAGAAAGGGACTTGAATAGGAATAACCGACTTCAAATCCAAGAATACCTGTTGTTAGGGTTAAGTTTGGTAGAATCAGAGTTTTTTTTAAATAAATGAAGTTTTCATACTATTAAATCTAAGAACACAAGAAGAAGTTTCCAATTTTATTTACGAATTATTTAAAAAAATTTAAGTAAAATATAGCAAATATATACAAGAATTATTTACATATCTCAATAAATGAAAAAGTATAACTTTAAAGTTGCGCTTGCAAGAATAATTTCGTGACGTCACACTACCTGAACTACTAATAAATAAATATCAAGCAGTTGGAAGTAAAATAACTAGGAACACCGCGAGAGCTCACGTGCGACTTAGAAACAATTGAGCAATTAAATTGAGTGATATTTGTGGTGCGAGGACCACAGTGAGGTAAAATAACGTCCCATTCGAGTGAGAGACCGCAATCGCTGTACGTTAAAATACTTATACTTAAACAATTTGACGACACGTTTGGCTCAGTTTGTAACGACCCTTCTTGCTGTGCCAGTGGTCGCGGGTTCGAGTCCCGCTAGGGGCATTCATTTGTATGATGAGCACGAATGTTTGTATTCTAGTCATGGGTGTTTATATATTTTATAATATGTATGTATTATATATGTGTAGTGTATCAACTATCTGGTATCCATAATACAGGCCTCGTCATATTTAAATTCCATTGTTTTAAATATGATATTAACAACGTTATGAAACTTTTCCATTGTAAACAATTTTAAACCCATTTTCTGTGTTGATGGAAACGAAACTGGATAAATATGTGTAACTAACAAGTAAACAACGTATGCGTATTTAGAGGAAGCTTGTATAATGTAGCATGTAATGCAAGAAGGGATGCAGTATCTACATAAGTGGTCGTAATAGACAGACGTTCCCTCGATAATTACTTTGGTAACAAGCCCTAAATAACTTGGCAGCTCATATATTATGTTCGCTCAACTTGAGTGGGTGTATGTTGCTACATATCTAGTTGAATAAACATTGTTGACAAGCTCCACGAGTAGATCAAGCAACACATGGTGTGTGTCGTATACGATACAACCAAATTTTAATTAAATTTATAGGCGATTTGAAAGTTAGACCACTAAAAATCTAACAATTATATATAGTTGCTGCTCATGGTTATCATTTTTAAAATTAAACATATCAATTATATGTTAACTTGTAATTATAATAATCGTAACAATATAAAAAAATTCTTTACTCTTTCACTCACCAAATTCGCATAGTGAACTGTTGTGTAAACTGTATAATGCTTGATCTGGATACAATGTGTCGAGCACTCTGTAGGTTGCGCCATCAACGCGCTGGTGGTGGTAGATGTGATGCCTACATATTTATAATATATGTTAATCCTATATCTTTAAACGAGCAATTTTTGTGTGTATATATATATAATCTGAATCTCGGAAACGGCTCCAACGATTTTCATGAGATTTAGCATGCAGGGGGTTTCGGGGGCGGTACATCGATCTAGATTAGTCTTATGCCTGAGAAAACGTGTTTTCGAGTTTTCATGCAGTTTTCTTTTGCATTATTCCACGCAAAATATGGTCGGTAATTTGCACGCCGATGTAAGAATCGTGGTCAAGCGACCAAGGTGCAAGATTTTTTTTATATTTATTCAAGTTTTTAGTTTAAAAAAAAAGAAAATTGTACTTTACGCCAAAAACTCCAAGCGAAGCTCGGTAGCCCAAGTACTATTTTTAACAGCGTAACTATATAAAGACTACTTACTACCATTTGTAACCTTAAAAAAGATGGTTGATTTGATGGTTTTTAAATCCCTTCAAAAATAACTAATAACTCTTCGTACTACTACTGCATTAGTGAATTGGTTCTGTATATAGCGCTAAATTAAAGTTCAAACGAAATAAAAAGAACAGTAAAGCTATTGTCCTGCAACGGAAATTGAAGCCTTTTGGATAAAACCTAGAACAGTTAGGCTATTGTGGCTTTAATCGTGAATCGGGTTTATTGGTCCAATACACGGGAAGTCCCCGGTCGATTAGCTCGGAATGCGGTAAAATGATCAATTTAGCGAGAGGAATAAAAAACATGCTATCTTACAAATCTTTTGTAATAAAATACTTCTGGTAGTATTATGAAAGGAATTTTGTATTTCTTCGATAAAAATACAATTTTTAATTTTGTGATAGAAATTATATACAAATGGGTATTTCACCAATTGTTTTAAAAAAATTTTTGTACAAAATTACATTATATTTGTTTCTACATAAGCACGCTATATTTCTATAACATTTCTAATATTTTTATTCGTCACTAAGTCTGAGAAAATAAGTTATCATGTTCCTCTGAACCCCATAATAAAAAGTGCGTATAGATTAACAGACAGTAAAATGAGAGCTGACAGGACCTAATTAATCAGTATAAACTGTACAGGTATCAAAAATAAATGGTAACCTTCAGTAATTTTGTGATTATAGAACACTAAATAATTTATGATAAAAAAGCACAATAATTTGACTAAACATGGTCACGCAGTATTATAATATATGTATCTACTAATGATTGCAAGAGCTTTTTAAAATTAGCTTTTTGATAATTTTCAGAAACAGTGATAACGTTGGTAAAATTGTTAATTAATTTTTTTCTTGTAAATCTAAATACATAATATGTATAATTCAGACTTTTACAAAATATTTTTAAGTATTTTAATATCGTAATTTATTATAAATAATAATCAAACACAAAATAAATATAAAATTTACGTTTTGTATTATTTTAGTTCTTTTTTTTAACTTTCAATATAAATAATGTTTCTAACAAAAATATGTATTATTCTCTTTACATAAACGTCACGCTACTTCGTTCAATGAAATATGTATGTACATAAATAACTATTGTGTGTTAAAAATGTATTAAATGTCCAATTTAAGAAAATGTAGTCGATTAGTTCGAACTGACGCGACGTAGCAAATTGATAAATTTCGCAAAAATGTATACTTAGTTGTTGCCACAAAAATATGTTACATTTCTGTAGTTGCAGTTTATATAAAAATATGAAGAGAATATGTTATTTATCTAAATAATTATTTAAAAAATAATAATAATAAGTAGGTAACTACAGCTATCTAAACGTTTTTTTTATTTTTTTTTTAGCTTAACATGCAATTTTTCATTGCTATTTTATATTTATAGCAGGTATTAAAATGTTTTAAAATTACTTATATATTTTTATGGTAAATACTTTGCGGATTTCATAATAAACATAAAATAAAAATGGTAGAAGGTACATGACCCAAAAAAAGTCGAAATGGAAATGGTAAATTACCTATGAGCCATTGTTCCTCTCTCAACGTCTTCACCCGTCAGCCTGATATGAATCTTGTCTCGTAACAGTGAACCATAGGCTAAAGCTTCTCCCATGGCCCAATCTGCTACACCAGATTTTACCTGCAATTAGTTTATTAAGTATTACGAGTATTATTCGATGGTTATGAAAAAAAAACATTGGATAACGATAACTTTTCGGTCGCAAATATTCTGACTGGTAGTAATAATATTTTAGTAAATATAACACTAAAATATACTAGTCTAATCCTACTTCCTACTAATATTTTAAATGTGAAAGTTTGTAAGGATGTACGGATGTGTGGATGTCTGGATATAGATATGTATGGATGTTTGTTACTCTTTCAGGCAAAAACTACTGAATGGATTTTAATAAAACTTTACAATAATATAGCTCTTACATCAGAATTACACATAGGTTACTTTTTATCCCGGAAAATTGTACAGTTTCCGTGGGATAGATTTGTTTTTGTTTTTGAGTATTGTAAGTAATATTTTAAGTTACATAACAGAATCCGAATTTATTTTTAGCATAGTATTTAAAAGTAAATGAGTTTTATCTTAAAAAGTATGAGCTTATTATGAAATTTCTAACAAAAAAAACTATGTACCGAAGCTTTAACAAGCTATAAGAAGGTAAAGTAGTCAAAATATATCCACATGTATAATTATTACGGTAATTGAGGTCGTTAGGCATTAGTTCCGCCAGGTGGCTTGTCATCTTGATCCCTTTGTATTGGATGTACGCAGCATATAATATACAGCAGTATCAATTATTACAACCCAAATCCATAAACAATTTATAGTGACATATATACATAATGTACTAGCAGAACGCGCGGCTTCACTCGCGCTAAAACTAATAATAAATCTAAAAAGGGTAGGTTACATACAAACTTTCATCCTCTATTTTACCCCCTTATGGGATGAATTTCGAAAAATGCTAAAACACGTATTTGTTTAATTGTATTGAAGAGCATTAATACCAAGTTTCAATTAATTCTGATCATAAATAATGTTTGGGTTGTATTATAACGTGTTTTACCGTGGGAATGAGATAATCTCCCGCGGTAAAAGCATATGTCACTCTCCGGCCTTCTAACTATCTCCACACAGAAAATCTTACACTCTGTTTTGACGTGAAATAAGAAACAAACACATTTTCATATTTGTATGGAATTTGATATTTATTGATACGGTTTTATGGAAATTGATACACTAGGTAGGATGATGCAAGTATTTATAATAGTTACTAGCGGCTCACCCACGCTTCGCTCGGGTTCGCCTCTAGAAAAACAAAAAGAAACCTATACCACTGGAACCATACATTTTTACTTACATTGGTTATTAAAATTTCCAAAGCTGATCATTTTTAATTTCTATTTATTATTATTATCCATACATATAATTAAAATGTTACGGATCGCTATCTGTACATGGAGGATATATGAGAAAAAATATTATTGGCACCTTTATCAACGCAAATTGCACCCAAAACAATGATTGTTAGAATTTTTGCCTATTTGTCTGTGCGTGTGTGCACGCTAATAATAAAGTATATATTCTATATGAAAACCTCCGTTTAGTTATTTTTTACAATTTAGTGCCTGGGAGTCGTTTTTTTTTTATTTTTATTTATCTGCCTATCATGAGAGTGGCAGCGCTGTCAATAATTATTGACTGATATACCTTTGACTATATTATCATTGGTATTGCAGGTTTAATAAATAGGTACGAGCAAATTTTTTATATACTGTTATTTTATGTACGTATGTATTATATAAGCTTTTAATGTGTACATTTGATATGGAAAGGTATCATAAGTCTAGAAAGAAACACAGTTTTCGGGTTAGTGCTTTGTGCATTTGTTAGCATTGTGTTACGAAAATATATTTTTTTAATTTAGTATCATGTGTTATTTAACATAAATAAAATTACAAACCATTTTTCCCCGTTTCTCTAACATTTTGTGAATGCCCTTATGAATTTCGAACGCCCAAGGCTCTGGTGGCTTGCAGAAGTGTTGTGATATCGTGGCAAGTGATGTCTCACTAATACCAGTTTCTCGGACCTGAAGATATGTATTAGTAATTTTAAGTTACAATTTTATCATCTACTTATATAAATAAAAAAAAAATAAAAAAATATATGTTTATATTAGTATTTAACATCTATCTCATTTTTAAAGACCCATCTTAACAAACTCCGAGACACAATTAAGTTTATCCATTCCTCACTTTTTATTTAGTTAGGTAGCATCAATACTCTTATTCCGGTTAAAAAGTACACTCTAAGTAACAAAACCCGACTGCATAAAAAGTGCACTAAAAAGAAGAGAATAAGTTGACGAAGGTGCATAGTATTATGCAGTCGGAGACATACATATACTTAGAAAGCTTAGAATATCTGTGTGTCTCCGACTGAATAATATTATGTTCCTTCGTCAACTTGTTTTCTTCTTTTTAATTAACTTTTTACGCAGTCGGGTTTTTTTTTATTTTTGTTAATATTTGTTTTATTTATTATTAAAGTATTATTAAAGCTGTAAGCTTTTTAGTTTTGGTCAGTTAGACATTTTTGGTTTTATTTAACAATTTCTTATCCTAACTTACTTTTAAATACAAAAGTCGTATATATTTTTTTATTTACTTCTTAAACCCTGTATTTTAATAACCTTGATTTATTCGGATAGAATTTTTTTTTTCAAAACACAAATTGGCGTCTAGGATCCGCCATTTTGATTTTTAATTATATCTATACATCTTATAACACTTGCGTTATCAAGACTAATCAAATGACATATGAATCATCGAAAACGGCTAAGCCGTTTAGTAATTACGAGGGAACATTGGATAGGATCGGACATACATACATACAGGTCAAACACATAACCCTCCTTTGGGTTTCGCCGTAGTCGGGTAAAAATACAATACAATTGAAAATTGTCTGTATCTATTACATACGTAATTCAGGTGCAAAAACCTGTAGTAAAATTCTAATAAAATATGAAAACGGGTAAAAAATATTTTCCTACGATGGCTTGTGAACTATGATGCATGCAAAAAAAGAACCTTTTTAGGATCAGTAGCTTCAAAGAATCCAGTCCAGGGCGTATCGACCCAGTCCATAATACTTAGTTTGGTTATCTTTTTTGCGAGCTCAAAATGTTTGTTTAATGTGTCCATATATTCCTTTTCCCAACCCTTAATATCTGCATCTGTTACTATGCCTTCCGCTTTTAGCTTTTCACTATATATCTTGTCCACTAAAAATGAAGTATAATTTATTTGGTTATTAATAGTTTGAATGTTTCTGAGTACCTACTCCTTGTACGTTTTTATTTTGAAAAAAAAAAAACATTTTGTATGTTACATTTGTTTTTGCCTTTTTCGTTTATATTTGCCGTGAGCTTGTGAGGTTTTTGTCAAAACAACCTTATTATGTCGCAACTTTTTACTACCCCCTGTCAAATGAAAAAAAAATATGATTCCTCCAAAGAATATTTGATATACGTTTATGAGAAACATTAAAAGCAATAACAAGGGCCGTATGTTGGAAGTATTAAATAAACCTGCTTGAGACATTTTAAGTAATTAACTAACCAGTTTGCATGCTCTTTATTTTCTTGTACATTAAGGGTTGTGTGAACATAGGTTCGTCTTCTTCGCTATGTCCGAAGCGGCGGTAGCAGACCAAGTCAATAACAACGTCTTTCTTAAACTTACATCGAAACTCAATCGCTATTTTAGCGACGTGCGCTACTGCTTCCGCATCATCTCCATTCACATGCAGAACCGGTGCATCAACACATTTTGCAACATCTAATAGAGTAAAAAATACTACTGATACTTATTTGATATTTGGTATATTACAACTGATAAAGTATATTTAATTTTATAAATGAATGGCAAAATGTGTTTGTTGCTAAGCGTAAAACTCGAGAACGGTTGGATCGATTCGACAATTTTTTTTGTTTCAAATATTTGTTGAAGTTCGAGAAAAATTCTTATGAAGAGAAAAATTGGAAAATTTCACGGAATAACGTAAAAATCATTTTTTTCTTACTGTTACTTTATAATTATGAACGCAACCTTAATATAAACTACTTGAATGTATTTGTAGATTTGACACGCTTTCTTTCTACGATATACAGTTTGACTTTAACTTTGTTTGTTTGTTCTTCTTTTACGTCAAAACAGAGTGACGGATTGTCTATTAAATTGATTGATCCATAGTAACCGTTAAACCTACCTAGAGATGAACACGAGAACACACTAGTATAAAAATAAAACAATGCTGTACAATTCATGTCCTCGTAAAATGCTATAAAAATGTAAACTTACCTGAACAATATGGCGAACTTCTGGCGAATCTTGGGTCAGTCGTGTAGCCAATTTGATTGTTGCACACGATATGAATAGAACCATGTGTAGTGAAGTTGGGCAAGTTGCCGAGATGCATCGTTTCGTACACAACGCCCTGTCCTGAAAATGCTGCATCGCCATGCATGATAATTGCCATAACCTACAAAAGGGAATTTTAATATTTAACAAATATATGTATATTTTATATTCTATCATTTTCATATTTATTATAAACATTTGAAGTAGATAAATACGAGGTTTTACGAATGTGTCGACAAATATCCAAGTCTCGCCAAGTCATGAATTGAGTCAATTGACTTCATCGATCAAAATGTATTAGATACACAATCCCATACAAAAGTTCTCTTAAAACTGTCACCAATTGTATTTAGGTAATTATTTTAGTTAAAATAAATATACAATAATGAATATTGAACATTAAATGCAATGCCTTAAGTTGATTTCACAAAAAAATAAAATCGCGCTCAAATGTTCAAATCAGCGCTCATTTGGCGAGGACATTTTTTGTCGCTGATTGTGTATGCAGTACTTTGAAAGTTAAGTTCCAAAATATCTTTCAATATCTTTTATCAAAACCTAAAAAAAACATGACAATTACGCTGTTATCAACTCAAAATATTAAAAAAGGTTTTTATATTCAAAGATAGCTTACATTATTATACTAGCAATTTTGACCAGATTTTATCTGTTCTCCAAATTTAACAATATTATTAATGTTATTGTATAGTTGTATCCTGAATGATGAGACAAAATGTGTAAGACAAATATACTTAACTTGCAAAAACTTAAATCATAAACACATCACTATACACAATCTCCACAAAGTATTTTATTGTAAGTAAAATAAGCAAAAATGTCTATCTGTGCTTCGCAAGTTTTTTTTACCTTGTCTCCATTATTATCTCCTTTCCAATGCTGCTCAGCGCGCGCTTTCCCAATTACAACCGGAGAAACAACTTCTAAATGAGAGGGATTGCAACTCATAGACACCTTGATGTATTTGTTCGTCCTCCGGATAAATCGATGGATGAACGTGCCGAGATGGTATTTGATGTCGCCTGATCCCTAATGAATAGTCGTAATCAAAACATGTTAAAGATATTGTTAATATAATGTTATTGTTTTTTCGTCGGATATTTGTGTTTTTATACAAGTTATATTTAATAATGACGTAAGCTACATACTCGTATATAGTATATTCTTTAAAAATCTATTTTTAATTTAGATTAGTCCGTACTCAAAGTGCAAATTTTCTCATAGTCAAACATTAAAATTGATTAAGTGATTACAGATTTGCAGTAGTGCAAGTAACAGCCAAAGTATTAAGTAAGTGCCATTAAAATGAAAGTGCCATACAGATGCAAAGCTTCTGTGTAGCGCAATAAATTAAGATAAATATATAAATTATATATACTTGATATTTATAAGTGAAAATGTGTAATTAGAAACAATTTTATATCGAAAACGTCATCTTTCGTTATTTACGTGTTTTAATGTAAAAGCTTGCCGTTGCGCTTTGTATCTATAGTTGCGTACTTGTATTTGTTATCCGTGTGGGATTTATTCTTGTGTAATTTTAAGAATTATATATTATTAAGAATAGAATATACCGGTTCTTTTGGTTCCATTGGCTTAAATTGAGCGAATATATCTGTAAGTTGCTTGCGGCACACGTTAACTAACATGTTGAGTCGACCTAGAATTTAAAATACTACATTGTAAGCAGAATGTTTATTTATTACACGTTTCCTTTTTTTAAACCTAAACTATTATTTATACTGTAAGACTTCCAGTCGTACCTGATAATTTATTGTTCTTCATACTATATATCAAGATTGAGAAAAATTGTAAAGTAAACGTAGGTACACCCGTATTTTTAGATTAATATAATAACTACATATATGTATTCAGCCCTTTTTAATGTCCCACTGCTGGGCACGGGCCTCCCTTAACCACGTGGAGGATCAGGTCATAGTCCACCACGCTGGCTAAGTGCGGGTTGGCGGACTACACATGTCTTTCGAAAACTTGCTAGGTTCTCTCAGACAGGCAGATGTCACGATGTTTTCCTTCACCGTAAGACAAGTGGTAATCACGTTGGAATTGATTCACACATAAAAAAATATCTGCTACATATATATGTACCTATGTATTGACATATAGACATATGTCTAATAAATAATATAATGTTAGCAAAACATTACCTCTATGCTGCATGGCCATAACAATAGATTCTACACCAAGGTTAGTTCCGTGGTCCACAATTTCCTCCAACATTGCTATCATACTCTCTCCTCCTTCTAAACCGAACCGCTTCTCTGCAGGCCACTTAGTTGCGAAGTACTTCTCCAAACTAGAATATTAATTATTTGACTAATTATCCCCGCGACTTTTTTCGTCTGGTAGGTTCATTGAAATGTCAAATATGTGAATACAAGATATAAGCTATCTCTATTCCGAATTTCCTTTAAATTCACGAAATTCTTACACCGTAAAGTTGCAGGTAATAAAGACACACTAACTCACAAACATTAACATATACTCGTAATACTAGTATCATAACGCTGCGAAAATTTGACGAAATAATTTAACCCTTTTTTTTTTTTAATGTTGGGAAATGCATTTACGCACGACGTGTGGGACTCACCGGCGTAATACAGCCAGTACTACCTACTAAAACCCAACAAAACCTTCCCCCGTCTTAATGGGGCGTCGCAGGATCGCTTACGCATTCAACTACGACGCCCCGACGGCAGGTCTGCCGAAGCAGACCACAACAACCACGGGGTTGCTCCACAGTCTACTCTGCTATCAGAGAAGTACCAGGAGCAACCCGCATGGTACACTGCCCTCCGAAGAGGGCCACCTCCCACCGCCCACCGAAGTGGGCCACCTCCCTGTGCGTTTCTTGGCTTCGCGCCCGGTTGGGTTGCCGGGCACTACTGAGCCCCCCCACCACGACAAGGTGAACGCACGTTGGGGGGGAAATAATTTAACCCTAGATTTGCATTTCTAATGTAACAATAATCGTGACACAGTCTTTACTCGTACAAATTCAGATAAAATATTTGGACATGTTCCAAGTACTCAAAATTTTCCTTTCATTACCATTACATAGGCTATAATTATATGCTAACTGTCGTGTACAGATTTGCATACGTGGAAGAACTTAGCATAGAACCAAGATTAGAAACAGAATTTTCTTATCTACTGAATAGAAGCTCTTTAAAAATACATTTAGTATACTCGAAATATTAGGTTATCAAGAATAATAATCAAGCTAGTTTAATTGGTATAAAGCAAAAATATCATAATTAGAATTTTTTTAAATGTCACTTGAGAAAATATTGGATAAATATTTTATTAATTCTAATGGAACGTTTGATATAGAGTACATTTTTTACGTTACATATGTATGTGTGTAATATGTTTATTTTAAACGTAAAAAAAGTTATTGTAAGAGCCGACGTAACTCACAAAACAGCCTTAGTAAGGCGTCGCATGATGATCCTTTTCTCCTCAGCAGACTTTTCGAATGCTCCAGGTGCTTCCATACGCTCGCGTATAAATTGTATGCAATCCAGATCGTACAAATGCATATATTCCACTCCGATTGAACTACAGTATACGTTCTCTAAACGACTTATTATCTCTCTGCAATAAGTTACGTTATATGAAGTAAATATTATCAACCTTAAAACTTGCAAATGAAATGAGGCTTATTGTAAAGTTTTTATTTTATAACTATAGACCCGATATATCTATACTAAACAGGTATAAAGTTTTAAAGAAATTAAAAAAAAAACTGTACAATGTCTATAAAAACTATTGTCAACTTTCAATGGCTTCTGCTTTGGTGGTACATGTTACATAATTTATATGAGAAGAATATTTAAAAAATCAGAACTGCTTCAACTTCAATGTCGTTTATAAAATATGAAAATTTAAGACGGCAAAACACTGTCATCATAATATGAGAGGATCTTGCAAATATATTGTTGTAATAAACATCGTCCCAGTCATTTACAGAGTAATTAGGGCAGATGTATTACTAAAATTGTAGTTTAAACTATATTTAAACCTAATATTATACATTTTTATAATATACTAGCATTAGCCGCGGCTCCGTCCGCGTTCAGATGACCAAAAACCAAATTCTTAGGTTTTAAATATTTGTATACTGTTATATTGCAGTTTTTGTATTTTTTCTCAAAAATGATATATTTTCCCGCGGTAAAAAGTACCCTATATGTTTCACCATACCAAATTTCATCTAAATCCCTCTAGTAGTTTTTCTGTGATGCGGTAACAAACAGACAGATAAAAATTCTAAAAACTATAGAGTCGGCCTCTGTATCAATAATAATGTTTATTTCAATAAGATTTTCCAAAAAATATAAAATGTACAGATTCGGCTCAGTTACAATTTTATTATATGTATAGATTACCTCAGAGTTAATGCACTTTCTGTGCCACCAATAAAGGTTCGGTCTGGTAATTCAAAAACTGTATCCATATGTTTTTCACCTAAAAGCAAAAATCTATTTCTCGTTCAATATTTTTAGATTTCAAATAACCTAACCGTCACAAATCGTTGTGAATGCTATATAAAATACGAGTTTATTTTTAAATAATTTGCCAATAAATAAAGCTATCAGTTCTTTTCAGCCTATAATTAATAGAACCACCAATTTTAAAATAAATAATAACAGGCCTCGAATGCTCAGTTACGCTTGCTATAATGAAGGCTTTTGAGTATTCAAAGCTAATATCAGCTTGCAGATTTATTTATTTAATATTTACCGAATGATTCTATTTTTTCAAACCATTTTTTATGTATTATTAACTTTTGTCTGCGGATCTGCTTATAAGCTAAGGTTAATAAAAATATTCTATTACTTACACTGTAGATTTAAATATTTTAAGAACTTTTAAAATCTATTATAATACAAAACAATTTACTTTCATTATACTTTCTTAGATTTACGCAAATATTTAATATTTTACATTATTTATCTTTTCGGATGTCTGTGGATAGATGGTGGACGGCCACGGGAGAGTCTATACTGTGACCCTAATTGCTGTAAAGCGTTCGAAACGTCGGGAACCAAAAATCAAAATAAATCCGCGAAAAAACCGAAATGATAGTTTTATTTTAAATTTACTTTCAATTAAGCTATGTACTATATTCAGTTTACTTTTTCTTTTCATATCATTAAGAATTTCAAGACTACACAACTATTTTTATTTTGCTTAGGAACATAAATTGTACTGTAAATGACTTTATGAATCTAAAGATCTTTATATTTCTAACTGGTTATATGACTTAGGATGAGCTTAAAAGGACGACATTTCGAAACGTACACAAAACAGTTCCAAGCTCTCTCGAAACCACACGACACTCCAACCCTTTCATGGCCAACGGTGCGTTTTGAGACTTGAGAATCCATCGAGCACCTATTGTAAGCATCAGTGGATCGGTCTTAGCTAGGAGATGACCTCGTGTCTATTGCAGAATTTAAGAACAAAATTAAAGAATCTTTTAATTAACCATCAAAATAATTTTATTGTTTAATGTAACTTAGTAAGGACCTGGGCGACCGAGTTTCGCTTGGCATTTTCCGGAAGAGATATAAAAATTGCGTTTTTTCACCAAAACACACGTATATAGATAAACTTAAAAAGCAAAACCTTATCTAAATGCAAAATTTAATTCAATTCGTTAAGAGTCGTTTCCAAGATACAAGAATAAATTTATATCAATACATAAAATTAATATTATAAAATAATTTATACTAATATTATAGAGGTAAAGTTTGTGAATTTGTGACGTTGTAGGGGGTAATCCCTGGATCTACTGAACCGATTTAGATTAAATTTGGTAAGAAAATAGGATCCTTTTTATTTCGGAAATCATCAGAGGGTGAAAATGGAGATGAAAGTTTGTATGGGGAATCAACCTAGGGACGCTAGGGACGTACCCGAGCGAAGCGAGAGTGAGTTGCTAGTAATAGTATAAAGATTAAACAAATAAAAAAGATTAACGTGAAAATATACATCAGTTTTTTTTAATTTAATATTTTTACTATTGAATACCAATATAGTTATTAATAGCTATATTGGTTTAGGTTCAAGTATTAAATTTTTAGAAAGTTGAGTTTGAATATAATATGTAATAGAGACGCGATGCTCTTATTTTAGATATCAAGACATTTTAACAACATTGTTAGGCTAAATTTGTTGTTAATTAGACAAGCTAAATTCGTTCACAAATTTACTCAGAAAGAAATATCCTCCTATATAAAGTCTATTTAAAAGGGAATGGATATACATAATATGTAATTTGCTTCAAAGTTTATCCTTAGCCCTAATTGCTAACCTACTAGACCCTTTTAAATCGGTTTCACCTGATAGCTTCTAATTAGATTTTGTACTGCTAGGTGTAATTTTATTCGTTCCTTTTCCTCTTTATCGTCTGCCTTCTCTGACTTTAACTCTGAAATAAAATAACTTTTCGCATTCTATCAAATAATAATAATATTGTAAAAATACTTGAAATACATAATAAATAATTTATTTACATGATTCTTTTTTCTCATATTCATAAAACTTGTTTTACATATTGTGTATTTTTAAAATATTAAATACCTTTTTATTTCTTATTATGCAAATTCCATACTTTAGGAAACTCGAGAAATACAATTTTTCTAATTTTATTTTATGCATAGATACGAGTAGGTACAAACAACAACATTAAATTGATTTCCTTCTTAATATAAATTAGGCAAAAATAATATAATATATTTCGTATAAATTATTATATACAATACCTAAGATATTATTTCTACAACTTACTGACTGACCGCGGGCTAAATTCGTCTTCGAATTCTTCAATTTTTAACATTGGGCCACTGACACTCTCGTAAAAACCATCCCACGTCTGCAACCAACAACAAATACTTTAAACATTGGAAAACTTCTACCGGATGCGTCTTAAATTCTTATAAAAAACTTAATATTCTGTACGAATAGCTTCATGCATTATATGTGTAAGTTTCAACCCTTTGCAAAATTAAGTTTATTCGAATCGCCTGAAAGATTAAGAATTTTTTTTATGAAAATCTCTTATGTCATTCTATTTTTACAAATGAAATAAAATCCGACAAAAACCTAATATTATAACGGTCCAATTGAATGGAAATTTCACCTCTTGGCCGTTTAATTATTATCGTTCACCACAAAGGATCTGTTGAATGAGTTATTGGACGCTTCTGCGCCAGTCACTGCTTGTTATTAATAAAGCACTTACGGAATCAACGGTTCCCTTCGATTTCGACCAGTCTAAGTATTGAGCCTCTAAGAAGTTTGCGTTGGTACCACTCAAAAATGCCTCTGCTTTTGAGGATTTACATCTTATTAAAAGATTTGCAGACTGAAAAATACATATATTATTTTACTTTAAAAGTAGCAATCGCTTCTAATAGAAGGCAACACCATTTGCGTCCAAGCTGTATTTACGTAATGTTTAAACATTTTTCCAATTTACTTCTGAAGTCAAAATGCAGGATTATATATAGATAGAATACTCGGGTGAAAAAGGGTAGATTATTACTACGCTTTAAGGAATTTACTTTAAATATAATAAAATAATATGGTCTTATACCATGACTTTTACGTAAAAGATATTCAGTAAATACCTCACCCTGGAATTAAAAGTAAGAATATGTGGTTGTTTCAGCATGCGAAGAAAGCGATTATAAGACATTTTACAAAGATTTTAATAATGGCTGCAATATTTATTTCACTATTATAATCTATAACTATGTTTAAAATATAATTTCAATAAAATCAATAAAAAGAAGTATTATAATTCTTTAAGAAATTATGACATGACAGATTTAAACTGTCGAAATGTTTCTTTTTCAATGATTTATTTTTATCTATTGCGTTTCTAATAAATATGATATAAATTATGTATACATGAAAATTTTTCATCTATACATATAATAAAATTGTGACTACGCCGAATCTGTACAATAAATATTTTTTGGAAAATCTTATTGAAATAAACATTATTATCGATACAGAGGCCGAATCTATAGTTTTTAGATTTTTTGTCTGTCGGTATGCACTAATATGTAAAACCTAAGAATTTGGTTTTTGGTCATCTGAACGCGGGCGGAGCAATGCTAGTTGTTATATAAAATTATGAAAAAAAATATATGAAAACCAGCTTAAATCCCATAAAATAAATAGTTTAGATAATAATTCGAAAACAAGAATTTTTAATAAAATAGCAGATATAGGATGAATAATTATAGAAAAATTAGTATATGAATCAGTAAAAATATACAATGAGCCAAAGGCATCAAAACAAATTGTGCAGGGGCAGATTTGAGGCGCCGAGGGGAAGAAGCGAGGCGCCACTTAGAGGGGGCTCATGTGACAAGCGTGACGTATATGCCGCATTCACTTTAATTTACTTACGGCGATAAGCTGAAGTCGTTCCCTGCTTACTCGTTACTTTTTATTTACTAGTCTTTCTGACATAAGGGCTGAGCTATTTAAAGGAAAATTGTATTTTCGAGTTTATAAATAACAAAATATATATTAAATTGTATTGGTATATTAAATATTTCGTTGCTTAGTAACCACAATTGGAAATCTATTTTGTTTCTTATGTAATATAACTATATTATAGAGTCATTATTAAACTACTAGCATTGCCCGCCGCTCCGCCCGCGTTCAGATGACCAGAAAGCAAATTCTTAGGTTTTACATGCCTATTAGTATACTCTTACAATGCAGTTTTTGTATTTTTTCTCAGAAATGAGATATTTTCCGGCGGTAAAAAGTATTCTATATGTTGACCCGGATAACCAGCTATCACCATACCCAATTTCATCAAAATCCCTCCAATGGTTTTTCTGTGATGCGGTAACAGACAGAAAGACAGACAGACAAAAATTCTAAAAACTATAGTTTCGGCCTCTGTATCGATAATAATATCTATTTCAATAAGATTTTCCAAAAAATATTTAATGTACAGATTCGGATTAGTTACAATTTTATTATATGTATAGATAATGAAACTATTTGAACAAAGGAATTGCGTTGTAAGTGTACACTGTACACTGCCTTCCCATAGTCAGAATACAACCTGTAAATCTTTTATGGTGTTATTTGATAATAGCCACAACATACATGAGTTTTCACAAGAAAATAATTTACATTTACATTTATTGTTTACGAATTCTTTTCTAATAATAAAAAGTCATTAGAGTGCTTCATTAAGTTTTACCCATCAATAGCGACCCTGTCAAGTTCTGGCGACCGCACTGCGTGACTAAGCGCCGCGTCCAGCCTCGGCCGCTGCTAATGCGTTGTTCGATTTATCACTAATTAATCTCTCATACGGAGAACATGTTATATTAAATTAGTAAAGACACGGATCAAGGTAAGTTTAATGTATTAGGCTACGGTTAAGCCATTTTAAGTAGAACTGGCATTATTAAAATTGCGCAGAATTTATAAATAGCATTTAAAATAATAAATTTGATTTTATTATTTGTATCAGGATTGTAGTATATAATTTGTGAAGACATAAAAATAAAATTTTTGCGGTTGTGACTACTCTGTTTCTAACCCCTCTGTCCGCTTAGTGGATGCTGTGCAAACATTAACGCGGGGTCAGAGCGCAAAAGTCGAGCAACACCCTCAGGGTTATTGTCTCTAGTACCTAATGAGACCTCTCGGCAACCTGACACTTGTCTGCGCGTCTTATAGTGGTATAGATACAAAATTTATGATAATAATAATATGAATATTTATATTATTAAATTGTAAAATTGTTTTTATTTTATATTACTTAACTAAAATATTATATTGTTTGTGAAAAGAAATTACTTGTTAATGGCATATCAATCAATAACCTTACAAACTACGTGAAATTTGCACGGCTCCGATTAATTATGCAGTGTACCATTACCATCAAATACCTAGATTTCTTAAATAAAACCCTAATTATTTTATATACCCATATAATAAAAAGTGGTCAAAATTTTATATAGATATACAGAAAGGCAAGAATAATTTTAAACTAGACGTGTTCCCTGGCTTCGTTCGGGTGCGTCCCTAGGTACATTTTTTTGAGCGGAACCCTTATTATTTTTCTAGAATAAAAGTAGCCTAAGTTAATCCTTATAACATTAGTTATCTGCCAGTGAAAGTCCCGTCAAATTCAGTGCAGCCGTTTCGGAGATTAACCGGAACAAACAGATAGACAAAAAAATGTGTTTTTCGTATAAGTACCTACCGTAGGTATATAATTTCTTATGCATTTAGTAAAAAACTGTTATTTTGACATTATATAGAGACACTTAAATTTTATTCATTTGTATAAATAATATATTTTGATCAGTTTTGCCCTGGACACGGTCTGAGTTTAGATAGATACCATTGTTGTTGTGTTACTGTGTAATTATTTAAAGAAAAAGAGATATATAATTTTATTTCTATATCATTAAAATAATTGTTTGTTGATATAACTTATATGAGGATAGTGGCTTTACTTGATTTTGTGGTACTGGCTTTTAATCCTAAACTTCCATGGATTATGATTTTTGTGATGATTTATCATTGAATAAGTACCTAAAATCCACGAGCTACGAACGAATCTCGTTATTATCTTAATAATACTTAATTAAAAGCTAATAAAAATAAATCTACTTACCGTCACATAATATTAAATTTTAACAAAATGTGGGTCAGGAGAAAACTACAACAGCGTAATTCATTTTAAGCAATTTTAACTTATAATTTCACTTTTAGTTGTCGTGTTTAAAAGGTGTAAACTGTAAAGTAAATTTGTATCGTTAATTGCTTTTGTCGCACGCATTTGGGATATTATGAAACATATAATTTATACCTCGTCTAGTAGGCATCCTTGTAGTTTGATAAAATAGATATATAATATTTTAGTAAGGGGCCGTTCATAAAATACGTCACACTAAAATCAGCTTTTTTTGACCCCCTCCCCCCTATTGTCACGTTGTGTCACACTTTCTGTGACCCCCCCTAGAAATATTTCGTCACAAAAACTAAGACCCCCCCCCCTGCTGAGTATGATAAATTCTAAATGATAGTACACAAATTCTGAAAATTAAAAATATTTATTTAGTTATTATAATAAAATTTAAATAAATTAATAAATATCTTTCATAACGAACATATAACCACATATGAAGGGATAAAGTAAATAAATGAAGAGTATTAAATTGAGAAGATAAAAAAAGCGTCTGTATTATTTCACTGTTAAATGGCGAATGAAGGAATAAAATAATAATAAATACATGAGAAACAGTATTTTCATTTATTACTGAATCGAGAGCGCAGGGTAAGTGGAAACGTTACTCTCTCAAGTATTGAAAAAACAAAGAAACCAGTTGTGACGGCTCGCAACGCCGCTAGAGTCGCGCCACAGAGCTAGCGCTCATGTCAAAAAATAATAAACGGCGAACGTCACGTTGCCGTATACCCCCCGTCCCCCCTTGTCACATCTTGTCACACTCAGCCAGACCCCTCCCCTCCCCTTGTATGCGAACGTATTTTATGAACGGCCCCTAATGTAGATATATAATTAGGAGTTCAATTAATGTATGAATCAATACTTGGATTCTTTTTAGGCTATGTTTATTCAATAGCACAAGTACCTACTCGAATGACGAATATAAATATTTGCTGAATACGGTAATCGAACCAGTGAACTACAATACAGTATATCAGTGCACCAGACCGTGAATATCTTGTGATCAGATAGGTTGCATGCCATTAATAATAATATAATAATATGTAGGGACATTAAAACACTGCACCATCTAGTTCCACGGTAAGCTACAAGGCATGTAATTATGGAAACCATATAATTGATACACTATACATATAATATATATAACTTTAAATACATACATATTATACATATAAACATCCACGATTACAGCACAATATTCGTGCTCGTCACACAAATGAATGCCCCCAGTGGGACTCAAACCCGCGACCGTTGGCACAACAAGTACCCCTACTACTACTACACTACAAACTGAGCCAAACGAGTCGACAATAAAAATAAGTATTAGATGCAAATACGAATATATTAAAAGCAATGAATGTGCGACAGTCATTATACCTAGTTACATCATTTGCTTGTTTATTTTAAAAAATACGTACCTAATATAGAAATTTCTTAATGTTACAGGATACAATAAAAATGATTAATTGCAATTCTTCTTTTTGTACTTCATCATTCTATTTGTTCTGTTTAAAATACGTAAAATTTAAATTGTGATATTAAGCGTACTGCGCTATGACTGTCGCCGTGAAAACTAATATGAGAATTATAACCCTAATACCACAAACAAACATATACAAGCTTCCTTCTCTAAAATTAACTTTAGCTAAAGTAATTTTCCAAAATTTATAACAATCATGAAAGGTACATCGAGGCTTGAGCTTGAAATATTTTCTCATCGCGTGTCTAATTTAGAGAGATCTTAGTGCGCGGTAAGCCTCCTGCGTGCTTCGAGCAACTAGATGTGAAAATTATGCGGCCTGTGGTCTACGACATAAACATTTGCTCCACTTCTGCTTGTGTACATTCCTAACTAAACTTATATAACCAGATGAGTAACTCTGCCGTGTAAGAACACGCCTCTGGCACACTAAAATAATTCTATTATCTCTCGATATATTTGTACAATAGTAACAGCG